AAAAAATCTATTATTTGTACTGTTAAAAAATATTGTTAAATTGCTAAAAAAGTTTACTAAAAATAACTTTAAAAAAGTATCGCTAGAAAAGAAAGAGTATTTCGCTTTCTATATAAGAACTTTCATCTGCAGAGATTCAAAAATTCCATCAAACCACACTTCGAGGCGTGTAAAGTTTGCGGACAGGAATACTGCATGGAGCCTATGCACAATCTGCCAGAACCGCCAGAGGATATGCTCAAGGAGCCACAAACGGACGTGAATACATCCATACAACTGAATTCCTACAATCAAATGAAGCTTCAAACGTGATAATATCGACTCGCAGGAACGACTCGCTTTTCACGGTTGCGCTTAATCTATAGGATGCCAAAACATTTTGAGAAACAATTAACAAGAAATGTCATTCGCTCGTGTATTTTTATCGTCGGTTATTGCGATAACTATCGTGGCAGTCAACATTCCATATTTATAATCTCGTTATAAGGATGATAATCACTTGCGAAAGAGTCATTAGGATAAGAATATATCTGTTATATACTTCTCATAAAATGTTATTACTTCTTGTAAACTGTTACTCTTTACGCCATTGTCATGTGATAAACTATATAGACAAGCACTGATTTGACATAAGAGTATATTTCTGTATATATCACAGTCAATACGCAATCTAATGTGTACAACATCGTTAACCATAATTTTAATAAATTATTATATATTGTCCAAGAATATATTTCTCTCAACGATATCCGACTTTTTCATATTGTTCTCTTAATTTCTTTAATAGCATTTTATCTTCAAAAAAGTTGAAACAAAGTTTATCATTGTCACAACGAATATCACTTTTTTCTCTTTATAACAATTCACGAGTTCATATTTGGGGGGGGGGGTTTATATTAAACGATTATATAATACAACGAACTGTAGAAAAGATTTTGCTATATATATATAAGCGCGCTTATGCTTAGAATCTCCGTTACGCAGCGGGTTTCCATCGTATTGAATCCTCATATGATAAATTAGATATAACTAATTGCATTATGCGTCTCTGGGACACAAGTCCCGTGATGGCATTTTCTCATTTGAGCATCGGGCAAGCTCAAGTTCGCATTGAAGTTTACCTTAACGTTTGTTCCGCTTAAAGTTGCCGAACCATGACAAAGAAGTTCGAATTTAATTGGCGCATCGAAGTGCCGGAGCTCTTGAGAAATGGCTCGGTGTTCGATCGATGGTTTGAAGACAAGGAGACTACTGAATACGAGCCGAATTGCCTATTTAAAGTCGACGAGTACAGTTTCTTCATATATTGGAAAAGTGACGGCAAGGTAGCTTATTGCAAAATCCTTGTAGATTTCTTTCTAAACAAATTTTGTTATTATTTTTTAATAATCGAATTCACCAGTAAATATCTCATAACTTTTTATAGGATGGCGATGTTATAGAACTGGCTCAAGTGAGCGATATTCGTTATGGGGGGACACCAAAGGTAAAAAAATTCGTGTAAAGAAAAATAATCCACATGTTATAAAAGCTTGCAGTAGCATTGCAACATTTCAATGTTATCGTAATATTGCTGGATCGTTGCAATGCTGCTAGAATAATCTGTGAGAACAATATTATAGTAATAGTTTGTTTCATCGAGTAACAATCAATCGATTTATTTAGGATCCAAAGTTATGCAATAAATTAAGTAAATACGGAACGTTTGAGCAATTAGATCAAAAAAGTTTAACTATCTGCTCCGGAGTGGATTATACGAATATTACTTATCAGCACATTGTATGCCCGGATGCACAAATAGCTAAGGTAATAATCAAGAAGTTGTGAAAGAATTAAGATTATATACATAAATTCAAACTTTAAAAAATCTATGAATACTATTGCAACTTTTTTTAAATTTGATTCTAAAATATTATATTCTTATCATAATTAAATTACTCAGGCAGCGTAAGTTGAGCATTGATCGTTAACATACAAAATTACATTACTTACAATTTAACATTTAATTTAATTATTCAATTTGCTCTTTTATCTTTTGTTTTAAATATACATTTGATTTCCGTTTGCATTTATTTTGTATGGCTTTATCGATAATGTAATTAATGCTCTCAATTATCTTCTTATTTAACTTCTCTATATGTTAATGTTAATCTGTGGTTAATCAATTCAGGATTGGCAAGCTGGTTTGCGTTTAATTACGCACAATACAAAAGCAAGTAACGTTTGCCCAACAATACAGCTTATGAAGCAGTACGTATTCATTAATTCGAATTCAATATAACTGCAAAAATATAACAAATATTTGTTTGAATGCTGATGTCGTTTATTTTGATCATTAAATAAAATTTGGCTGCTCATTAATCGGATCTGCCAGTTGGATGCGGCTAAGTTTTCAAATCGATTCGAAAGGAAAGGTTCCTGTGAAAGTGATATCAAAGACTTTTGCATCTGGAAAGACCGAGAAACTCGTTTATCAAGGATTATCGGAACTAGGTCTGCCCAATGGAAAAGTAAGTCAATAAGAGAATTTTCAAAAGGAAAAAGCCTTAATTAATGTTTGTGAATGCGATCAATAAAGTTTACTTAAAGTTCAGTTTAAGAAAATTCCAAAGTTATCGCTGCAAGTTGTACTTTTTCCTATTCCAAATGGAATAGAGAATGAATAGCTTTTTCATTAATTCAACAACGTAAAAGTATTTCGCTTACAAATGATTTTTGCATGTAAATCTACGTAAAAAAAATAGTATTATTATTTTGTATATTTACGAAGTTATTACCTCGTATATATACGAAGTTTATACGTTTTTAAATATTATTATTTGGCGTATAACATTATTTGATATTTAAAGATGTTGATATTAATTGTAAATGAGAATTGATATTTATATTCAGATTATAAATCAGATTATCAATTCTCACTTACTTGTATAAATTAATAATATAAGAAAATATATCGACATGCACGCATATTTTATAAATTATTTTATAAATTATAATATATTTTATAAATTATTATTTCTCACGTTTTAGAACGACAAAATAGAACCAGAGGCCTTCACGTTTGATAAATTTTATAATTTGTACTTCAAGATATGTCCTAGGAATGATATAGAGGAGCTTTTTCAATCCATGTAAGTATTAAGTTGGATTTTGCATAATTTCTCACATTATAGAAGACGTATTTTCTTGTTTATAGCACGAAAGGGAAAATCGATACCATAAGTTTGCAGCAATTGGTGGAATTCATGAATACAAAGCAGAGAGATCCGCGACTCAATGAGATCTTATATCCACTGTATACAGAAAAGCGATGTATCGAGATCATCAATGACTACGAAACGGATGAGAAAGCAAAAGCGGAAAGTGAGCTTCCACAAAATTTAATTTATTTTTCGTTATCGTTCATTTTTTATGTCGTGTTCTATTTTATTATTTTCAGAGAAACTGACGAAGGACGGTTTTATACGATACTTGATGTCAGATGAAAACGCGCCGGTATTTTTAGATAAATTGGAAGAATGGATGGACATGGACCAGCCGCTCTCGCATTATTATATCAATTCGAGCCACAACACTTATCTTAGCGGCCGTCAGATCGGTGGCAAAAGTACTGTTGAAATGTATCGACAGGTTCTGCTTGCTGGTTGCAGGTAATACAATCTTTCAATTTCTAACGATATATAGATCGAATAGAAAACGATATACAGATCGAAAAATATTTTGGAATGATTCTGGATGAAAAATGAAAAAAAACTATTGCAGGTGCGTCGAGTTGGATTGTTGGGATGGAAAAGGCGAAGATGAGGAGCCGATTATAACTCATGGCAAAGCTATGTGTACCGACATCCTTTTCAAGGATGTGATTTATGCTATAAGAGACACTGCATTCGTCACTTCCGAGTATCCCGTAATTCTGAGTTTCGAGAATCACTGCTGCATGAAGCAGCAATATAAATTGGCTAAATATTGCGACGAAATATTTGGTGACCTGTTGCTGAAAGAGCCCTTAAAAGATTATCCCGTGAGAGATGCGTCAAGAGACACCACGTTTAAAACTACTTCTACAGTAGTCGCATTGCAGCGTTGCAAGCGTCGCAATCAACATCAAGCTAGTTCAATTCTAATTGGACACTCTTGCGACACGCAACGTTGCGATGTGACTAATGTAGAACCAGCTTAATGATCCAATCAGCAAATTAAAATTATCATATGTGAACGTGTACATTATTTTCAGCTTGAGTCTGGATGTCTTCTCCCTCCGCCAAGCGCATTGAAAAACAAAATATTAATAAAAAATAAACGATTAAAGCCGGAAGTGGAAAAAATCGAGCTCGAGCTTTTCCGCGCCGGACAATTCGAAGACAAGGATGAAGTTGTAGAAGATGCCAGTGCACCCGCAAATGCTCCACCTCCAGAACCAGAGCCTCCGAAGGTGATTAACCACATTAATGAATTTTCAAACAGTTAAATTTCATTTTATCTTTCTCACTCTTTTTGAAAAATCAACAATATTACCTTTGATACGTTATGCAGGAAGGCGAAGCTCCTGCCGGAGGCGAAGGTGCTGAAGAGGTACAAGCAATCCAATACACGGGCAGTACAATGCAAGTTCATCCTTATCTTTCGGCAATGATAAACTACGCGCAGCCAATAAAGTTTCAGAGTTTCGAAGCTGCAGAGAGTACGTGATATCATTTATCGAAACATTCTACTTATCAGTAATTGTATATTTAAGATGATCAATATAAATTGATCAGTATAAATTTGTGATAACTTTAAGAAATTTATGAAAATCATTTTTAACATTAGAGTAAGTAGAGTCAAAATAACTGATTTGTAAATTTTTAAATAACGATGTTTTTTTAAACTTTCGCGTTTTTGCATAATATGTAAATGATTAAACTGATTCATTTATTTTTTCTCTTTATTTTTTTTTTTCAAAGAAATATATATATAGTATTATATATTTAA